TTCACCTAGGCTCAGACATCCGCGACATTCGCACCCTCTGAGTGCTGGAAATGGATCAGAATGCATTTTGCATGCAATCGATGATAGTCTCACCATGTCGTTAGGGGACAGCATGAACTGCGATCGCTTTTCCGTCTTTGCAGTGTCTTCATGCATCTGCGCACCTTATTAACGCTCAACCGGGTGGCCGGTTGGATACCCTTCGCTCGGGTGGGGTCAGTTTGACCCCCCGAGATCTCAGAAACCAACAGGTTAGGACACCAAATTCACAGGGTGTATTGGCCTGTGCGTAAAATCACTTTGGTCAAAGTTGGAGGTTCCCGGGTCATGACCTTCGGGTTAAATAAGGTCATACAAGGTCACACTCCAAGTTGGTCTCCAAAGTGTCCCCGAAACTCAGATACCTATTCTTAGCAAAAGTTCACATGCTCACTTAAGTTCAGTGACTTTGTTTGACCTTTCGAATGGCCTGGTGACCCAAAGCATGGAAAAATGCTGAGATTTGTTTTTGAATAAGCAATAAATATAATGCTAGGCAGCATGTCCCAAAAACAAAATACTGATCTGGGTCATTTAAGGTAAGTAGCCTCATGACCTTCAAAAATCCCCTGGAAGATGTTTAATGCGGTTCCTGTTAGCAATCAATTCGAAATGAGCACCAGTTTCCCCCATACAGCAAGCCCCAGTGGAATAAAACAGGTTGGTTTTGACCTTGGTCTGACCTTCATACCTGACCCTAGGTAAGTGTAATTTGCTATTCAATTGTTATGTAGCCTAAAAAAGCATCTCAGTGATGTATGGCTTCGTGCAACACTGGTTGTCGTATCAGACAAAACGATTTCCTAGAAATTGGCCTCGGTGAATCGATTGGCTGACTTTGACATGCCGTAGGTCAGCGATCTTAGAAGGAGCATCCAATTTCTTTTACCTTACGATCTGCTATTTAATCGCCTACAGCTAAGTAAAATTTGTCACGGTTACACCGCGCCGTTCGGAAACCATTCGGGAAAACCCTCAGGGGGCTAACTTGACCACCGCCCGAGCGCATGTTAAATCTAAACATGAAATGACTGTTCTTGCTCGCATCGCCACGCAATGGTGAATAAACTTGCGCTACGATAATGTTATACACAGAAGCCATGATAAATGTACATTTAGTTTATGTCGAACCGAGTAAAGTGAACGGCTGAATGGCTAATAACGTGCGAATGTGGTCGCGTCGTTGCCATGTTTCAATATTGCTTTCATACTACCATTGTAATTGTACCGAATGAAACAAGTAGCCACTCGTTGGAATGATTCGTGATGACAGTAAACTGAACTAAACTGAACAAATGCTCACAGTCGCAGATCAGAGCGGAAGTGTTGGGTCCGGTCGGCTTTTTGACTGCCCTTCAAAGCCACGTGGCTGAAATGGACAAATACGCTGCCAGCGAGAGGCCCTGCCGCGTTGATCAAGCCCAATGACGCATGCATTCTGCCTGAGGGCGCGTCCTGACACCATGGCACAAAGGCGTCACCACTCGGGCATGCTACACGGCGCGGCGTGAGGCCGCGTCGCAGCGTGACGAGGCGGCTCATTGCACAACAGGAGATGCTCTGAGCGCGACCATTATCGGTGCCGCTAGCCCGCGCCCGACGGGGGTTGGCTTCATTCCGACGGTTTTTCGAGCACGGGCCAATGACGAACGCTCGCAGCAACATTACATTTTCAGTACCTGTTCATGTATTAATTTGGCATCCTTTGTACAAATGTGAAGCTTTAATCTGCCAAGATCAGTGACCTAGGACAGGTAAAAGAGATCAAACTCTGAAATGTCACTGCATTATAGTAATAGAACATGATCGTGCCAACAGTTTGTATGCTTCAGATTTTTCGTAATAGGTGAGATCAGTGATCTAAAGTCTGGTCAATTTTTACTATCTTTAGAGAAGATGCAAATTTGTGTGTTTTTTATGTAATTTTGGTGTTCCTTTATGACAAAGAGCTCACTGACGCGCATGCACAACCATCATATGACCACAGAGAACATGACCTTGACCCAGACCATGCCCTACCTCTATGGGTAGCTTCTACGAAATATATGCTGAGCTCAAAATATGCACTTTTATAAGGAAATTTTGGACGCAGAATTGGATTGCTGATTCGATACTCATCATACATGCTTATTTGAATTCAGTGCTCAAATGGATAGTTTTACGAGGAATTTTGGACGCTGAATTCGAGTACTTCACTGAAAGCATGTCGTGATATCATTCTAATGCATGATGAGATCACAATAGTTCACATGAGGGCATGCAAGTCCATATGAGGTCACCCATAGTAAATTGCCTATGTTGGTAGTAGCGGAGTGGCTAAATGAACGAGAGTGACGCTTGTAACCACCTCCTTATCTTGTTTGTGAAGCTGATGACGCACAATTTCATATACCTACGTGGCTGTTCTCAATTGTTACAAATATATTTCCAAGCTTCGAAGGAATCATGTAAAATATAGACTAACACTACGCGACCTTGAGTACCTATAGATGTACAGCACTATACCTGTACCTGCGGAGAAAACAATGTACTGGTCACACAAACCCGGTAAACACCTAATTTTTCATTTGAATGATTTATAACTTTCACCAAAGTCGACCTCAGGTAACCTCTAGGTCAGCTTTGAATGGCAGTTGTGTGCCTGGAATACTTTTGTCCCACAGCTGCACCTAACAAAATAAGCTTAGTTAGAAGCACATTGTGAAAAGTGTTGCTCTTGAAGGTTACTGGCAAACCTTGCAAGCTAATGGTAAATTTTCGACGGTGGCCTGATCTGACCTGCCCCTTGTGGGACAACAGAAATAATGATAGTGGATTCCTCACAGTCTTAAGGCTTATTTTCGCATTCTCGATTTCCGTCTTGACGTATTAACAAAGGTTTTAAATGCACTCATCAAAACGACCGTCTTGACCTTTTGTGACCTCTGATGACCTCACATCTAACATGAGGGCAAACGCTTGGGCTGCATTATTTTTTATCTGACAGCTCACACAACGGTATCCTCGCCTTTCCCACTCAACGTCTGGAAGTTGGAGATCTCGGGGAAGTCAGCCTCCCCGGCCGGACGCGGCTGTCTCAGACCCCGGTCGGGCGCAGGCTAAGACTCAATCGATGGGCGGCTTCGTTCCCAAAAATTGATAAGTTGATATGAGATCTAACCTGTGCTATGCTCATCGAGTCCGGCGTGCATTAATTATGCTAAATTGGTGTGTCAGTATGACGTATATGATACAGTGATCCATGCATGGTACATTGTTTTTGTATTTACCTCTCCATCACTAACTTTTCATGACCAACGACACCAACCATTCTTGAAGGTTACATTGTTAACATTGCTACTTGTTAAGTATATCTGTCTTTCTTTCTTTCTTAATATATATATATATATATATATATATATATATATATATATATATATATATACATAACTTAATATATTTTATAGTAATATATAATAAGTAATATCAATATATATTTATATATTGCATCCTTCATCTACACCACGGGTCTGCGAAACAGCTTTATTCTTAAGACTGTTACGAGCGGGGTGCTCCAGGCAATCACGGCAACTCTAAGTTGTCAATTTTTCGGCTATTTGTAGAGATAATTTGGTTGGAATTCGACATAACTCAGAAAACTGGTGGCAATGTCAAAAGTGTTTGCATGCTTAACAGTGACTGTGTGCAGATGCGGCTTGCAGACAAAGGCGATAAGAAGTGATTGGAAGACAAAGCAGATAAAGCACTTCGTGAAGTAACATCTTCATTGGGCCCATTTAGCACCATTTCCAATTTCAAGGTGTCCGTAATAACAAAAGGACACTTGATACCTCTCGACGTGTTGTTGCTTTGCCCGGTGTGCAATGTTCGCGCACACAACGACATAAACTTGCGGCTGGCCTGCATGCTATGCCGATGGCATAAAGTAATATACTTTCGCCTTCGACAGTGGTATTATTGCTTACACAAAGTATAGAGACACATCTTGAAAGTACTGACTGTTAGCGAGGACAACGGATCTCACCAAACCTCGCCTCAGAATGACCGTCAAACTACAGGCGATTGCCTCTGCTTATAAACATTGGGGGCTTTTCCAGCAGTGTTGGCATTCTGAGCTTCATCACAGGCATAGGTGTCATTTATTAAAACAGGATTTGCCGGCTCGTGCTTTGTCTGCCAGTGCCATTAAAACTGGAAGGAGCACTAAGCAAATTTCGTGTTTTTGCCAATGCAAACTGAGCCCTGGTGGTGCACATTGCTCATCTAGCAAGCTAAGAGCAGCCAAAACTGGATAAACCGCATCATCAGGGTGCAGCTACATTGACTGACAGGCTGAAGCCTGCCAAGCCACATTCCAACCATCTGTTATTTAGGGTTGCCATATTCGCGGCACGTTTGGAAAATGCTATACCAAACTATATTGTTTTCATCATTAATTACTAATTTTACACCATCATAGGTCATTATACGACTTAATGTCATATTATTTCATCGTAGGGAATCGTGCACAAGTGAATTTGCCCATGCACTTGGCTAGGTTGCCAAGTTATATTTGTATTTCCAGCTAGCGATAGGATATGCGGTCTTGGATTTGGAAATGTGTTGTGAGTAAGAAACGAGTTATTTGGTTTGACTCAGTGATATCTTTGGCCGGCATGATCGTCTCAACTCAAAATCTGACCGAAATATTCTGCGAAGCTGACTCCGACCTCGATGGGAGGCGAGCTCGAGTCTCCCTGATAGTGACCAACACAGAAGATATAACGCTGGAGCGGCCTCATACCGAGACTGTGGTATGCAATCGCTGGGTTCCTGAGTCAATCAGTTGCGGCATTTTACGATCATTTAAAGGTGAGGGAGAATGACTGGATGTAGTTGCCTTCTTAGGTATGTCGATCCACCGGGCGCTGAAGCGGCCACGTATCCGATTTCACAGTTCCGTCGTAAAAGCAAGACCAAAATTCTGCAATGGATGTGCTGTGTCTTTGTATTGGTGTATCACGTAAACATTACTTGGCGCTGTACTTGTGTTGCCACAATAATTCGATGTGTACTTCTGTAGAAATCGTGACAAGTAAACTAAATGACATATTAACGATAACCCACGACGCAAGCTACGTCTACTCCAAGACTTCACCTACAGGTTCTATGATGTTCTCGTGAACTTTGTCGAACACCTGTTCCTGCACTTCGTTCTGAATCTGTTTGTTCAGCAGCTGCCCAATCTTCTTCACGACATGACCAGATTTCTCGTTGAGGGGCCTTCTTCCCTCACTGTCGCTATCTTCACCACGTGAAAGAGTTTTAACGTAGTGGAAACGACGTCCATGTGCGTCTGTAAAGAAATGCTCATTGAAATTGACACGCAAAGTGGCATCGCTTTCAATATCTGCCCATCTCCGCGTTTGATCATGTTTTTTACACTTAGCGTTCAGGCATCGTTCACATCAAGTTAATGAATAATTCTGATATGGTCGTAGTCACAGATATCATTTTCTATCATACGATGCGGTAAGGCATTTTTTATCCGAGGAATAGGGCTAAAACTACTTTCTTAACATCGTTAAACAGCATCGTTAAACAGCATCACTTCATGTATGTGGCATTTGGGTGTTACTAAGCTGGATCAGGCAAAGCCCATTTTCTTCTGTTTGAATAGAGTTTTTGTAATGGGTTAATCAATTGATACTTAATACAATTGAAAGTGAACTTAAGAATAAACACCCGCTGTTCAATCACCGCAAGAGCATATCTTACTGATAGAGGCCTAGGATTGCTGGAAAAGGTGAGCCCATGATACATTTTCATTGCATTTCATCCATGTATCGTCATGGGATAATGAAAAATGACCATTAATAGCGACAGAACAGTTCTGCATTCCTCCCTCATTCCCCGCCCTTCTCCCATGTTCACTTGTTCGAAGTGAACATCATGAGCGATGGTGCTGTGAGGCCCTGAAGGAGCGAGCCTACGGCCAATACGTGTAGCAAAAGTAGCATGAATAGCACAAAGAGACAATTATTTTGAATATGTATAAGCATGTCAGCAACACCGCTGGCGATGGCAGCTTGCTAAATGCTCACTTTTGATATATTTTGCTTGGCGTATAGCACCGCCCTTATTCACGGGCCGTTAACGGGAAACGTTACGCATCGAACTGGATGAAGACGCTTACCTGGGAGCAGCATGAAGATAGTCAGGCAAATGAAAATAACAGATAGCAGCTTCATGGCGTCTGCGTTAAAACAATTTGGCAGACCTTTGTAACTTAATGACAAACCGAAACTTTTTAGGAAAACGGAAACCGAAATAAACCTAGAATAATCGGACTGAAAAACCTAGATGTTTGGCAGGCATCATCGCCCCAGCTGCTTTAACATTACATCGCGTGCGAAAGCACGAGAGCTATCTTTCAACTGTCTTACAGTGCACAGATACTCTCATATTTTGATTTCAAAAATTGGAGTGACGGGAAAGCCAAGGCTATAAAAAGACCATGGCTATGCAAATACTCATCTACGAATAATTATTGAAGTGAAGATTGATGGCCGTGGTGGTTACGTTAGGATAGCTTTGTTCTAGTCTAGTCTTTGTTCTAGTTGCTCTAGTCAGGAAGATGCTCGTTGAAACGGGAGCTGAGGTAGCGTCTGAGATGATTTTAAGGTGACGCTGACAAACCATAGATGCAAGGACACAACAAAATTTCTAAGCCTCAGCGCATTCGATATAGAAAGCCTGTGTTGAACACCCAGGCATCTTCGTGGAAAATGAGGGCGCCACCATCGTATGGTTCCCGTTGGACATCACCAGGCAGTGTTTTAGTTGCCCCTCCAGAAATGCATCGTGTGACAGTTGGTTTAGGCTTTTAAGGCCACATGTTTTGAGGTACCAAGCCACGACAGTGACTGCCTCGTAAATTGTGTGAGTAAACTGCATGGATTACAGTTTATGGACTTGGTTGCGTGCTGCGATGCAGGCAATCACGGTTGCGATCGATAATTAAATGCGTGTCGGTAGACATCGATTAGCACCGGCACTGATTCGCCGTTTTTCATAATTCGGACTGGTGAGGGATCGAAGCAGCCCCCTAAACCTGGTGGTTTTCTACGGTAATGAATATAGAGCTAAGCAAAAGACACTAGCGAATTTGTTTCAACAATGCATTGCAGTTAGGACTATTTGTATGTTCTTAGATCAATATGTATTCCCAATTATGACGGGCCAAAAGAAGTAATTTTTAAGAATAACGCACTTTTAGATTTCTATCACATACACGAGACCATGCCTTGGCCTTGTGGTGACAAGAGACTTAAACAGGCGTATTACTTGTTCAATCCTAAGTATTTTGGCACATATTTTTATATCTTTTGAGCTTACATTTATGATGTATGGTTCCGTTAATGTACAATGTTGGCCCGCTGCGTGCGTTCCGCGGCATCTTCGGTTAGCGCCCGCCGCCGCACCGGCCGTAGAACCTCGTACAGCGTTCCTCAAAAACTGCCGCGGCTTTGGAACTAGACAATTTAAGAATACGCTATTGGTGTCAAAACACATGCGGTGAATGCATCTTTAGGCTACTGAAATTTGGTTGCCACTGCCAATTTACCGAATCGATATCCTCAAAAAATCCCAACTTGCGACAATAATTGAGTCTGAATCGAATCATGAAGTCTTGAATGCTGTATGATCGTTCCCAGTCGAAGCGTTCCAAAACGCTAGAAACATCATCATCACTAGTCCTCAAGTCCTGCTGCTTGCACGTTTTAACGTCCTCCTGATACCCACGACATTTTGCTAAACGCACAAATGCCCCTGAAACCCAATTCTGGGAAAATATTCATGTGTCGTATGTGACGCGAAATGGTCCTAGGGCCTACTGGCAACTGTTGTACGCTAAAGCAGTCTAACGCACCTACCTCACTGTGCTGGTGACTTTCACTTTTTTGAGGTGTCGATGAGTCCGTAACCTTGGCAGATCTAATCAAGAAACTGCCATTTTTACGAACTTTCATAACACTGCCTATAAATGCCTCGAACGGAGAAACTTAACATGATTGGATAAAACGTCTGCCTTATTGCTCCTCCCCTATCCGAAGATGTGCCTTTGACCCCTCTCTGTGGGGGTAGGGTGGGAATGGTAGGGCGCTGAAGGCATTCAAACCGTCCCAGGCGATTTATTGGCGTCCCCCTCGAGCGGCGGCGTCTCCTCCGTTCTCCGGCGGCAGCAGAGGGACCCGGTAACCCGAGAGAGCAGTTCCAGCAGGTGCGCCGCGCCCGTTCAAGATCAAGGCGACGTGCCCGCCTGGGGCTGAGGATGGCCGCCTAATGGGACGGCTGGTATATGGGGATGGGCCATGGACCTTTGTCCCTAGCACTGACCCAGCGCTCACAAAAACCCTCTGCGCGCCTCCACGGGCACCTTCCGAGAAGGGGTCGTCATACTGTGTGGCAGCTCGAAATGAGGCTCGACTCAGCTGCGTCATTTAGGAACGGCAAGAATTCGCCGCTCCTCAGTTGGCTGTTGAAGAACGGCGAGAAGTCCTTTGGTGTTTTTATGCCGCAAACTTTTGCCAGTGCTCAGCGCTTTGCTACTGATTGTGGAAGTGCTTCAACATGTCTTAGATTGTTAATACTTGACATTTGACCAGCACATATATGAGCTCCGGTGCCCTAAAAATTATTCAAACTAGCCGGCCATTCTCTCCAAACTAGCCGACCATTCTCTCCAAATTAGCCGATCATTCTCTCCAAACTAGCCGATCATTCTCTCCAAACAGCGCGACAATTTTTGGGTCGATGCACAGCATGCATACAATTTGCACTGTTTGTCGCTACAGTTGGCAGTAAGCAGTTGGTAGCTGCTTGGCTAGCAGTTGGGCGACAGCTGCCCATTTTACATGGCCAGCCAGGGTTAATTGCATTTAAGCCGGCATGGATAATACGACTATGGACCCCTCACCTGAGGTGTGTTTACATGGGCTGAACAGGCTTTACATTAGATTACGAGCCAACAGTCCGAACTTGGACAGCTTGAATCGAGGAACGGGTTGTGGGCCTTAACTGCGCTTTTGAGACAAACGGGCGCGATGCTGCGGTTGCTTTACAGGTGATGCCTGGAGAGTGTCAGGGTTTGTGCGGGAACCGTGGATGGATGAATGGGCGAGAAGCTACATTCTGTCAGACAGAAATCTATGCAGGACCTGTGAACCGCACAGCCGCAATGCTCCAGCCGCAATGCTCCAGACTCCATCTTCACCTCCAGTTCGGGGTTCGCTTCCCTGTCTTCCCAGTTCTTCTTCTTTTTTCATTTGCTATCGTATTGAGCAAAACAAACAACTCGTTAACGGCATCAAAACCGCGTGTGCCAAACACCTTTCGGTTATCTGCGTCCATTTAGCAGTGATTTTTTAGCAGCCTCGACCGCCGCACATTAGAATATAAGCCCCCCACCTAGACGGATAATCCTTCCATGAGAAGGGCTTTCAGCGGACGCGTGATTCAAATTTATCGAACGGCGTGAGGGTGTTTACATTGAACCGAAAACACAAATCGAGGCTGGCGCCAGCTTAATTCGACTTTCAGCTGGCCATGTATACAGGGTAACATACTTCACCTGCGGTTATTCAGGTACTGATCCTGCTGGGTAATGGGGTGTGGTGTTTATTGGCATCCCCCGCCCGTCGACGGGCGTCTGCTGCTGGCGCTGTCGATGAACCATAGCTCATACAGTCATCAAAGGAAGCTTGATGATTTTTCCTGGCACATAAGCTGCTGCCACAGCCAACGTAAGTAGCTTAGCATGTCCGTTTTGTTAACTTTTTCGACACAAGGCACAGCTTTCTCCCGCCAGATACGCTTCTCGACCGCTTCGTGCAGCTTCGAGGAACATGAAAAACAGACTCTCTTCCATTGTCTTACGGGGTACGAGGTCTTCAGTTCACACCCTAACCGCAAGTGAACGATAGCACTCAGCAGATCAGCAAACGCGGTGCCTTCCGGGCGCACGACCCGACCGTCGTGACACCGCCCGAGGACATACAGGACTGACGCGACCTGGCCGGTGGACCTGCGGGCCGCCGCCGGCTGCGGCTGCGGCCCCGACCACCCTCCCTCCCCAACGTCGGGCTGCTACCCGCCCATGGGGGCCCCTGCCCGCTCCCACAGCAGGGCTCCTACCTGCTCCGACAGCGGCGCTCCTGTGGGAGTACCCACAGCGGACTCCTGCCCATTCCCACAGCGGGCTCCTGTCCAGCCCCACAGCGGACTCCTGCCCATTCCCACAGCGGGCCCCTGTCCAGCCCCACAGCGGGCTCCTGTCCAGCCCCACAGCGGGCTCCTGTCCAGCCCCACAGCGGGCTCCTGTCCAGCCCCACAGCGGGCTCCTGTCCAGCCCCACAGCGGGCTCCTGTCCAGCCCCACAGCGGGCTCCTGCCCATTCCCACAGCGGGCTCCTGCCCATTCCCACAGCGGGCTCCTGCCCATTCCCACAGCGGGCTCCTGTCCAGCCCCACAGCGGGCTCCTGTCCAGCCCCACAGCGGGCTCCTGTCCAGCCCCACAGCGGGCTCCTGTCCAGCCCCACAGCGGGCTCCTGTCCAGCCCCACAGCGGGCTCCTGCCCATTCCCACAGCGGACTCCTGTCCAGCCCCACAACGGACTCCTGCCCATTCCCACAGCGGGCTCCTGTCCAGCCCCACAGCGGGTTTCTCTTCACTCCTACAACGGCGCTCCTGTCCCCTCCCACAGCGTGACTCCCATACGTTTTCATAGCGGAGCTCCTCTCCGTGCCTACAGGGTTGGTATTCCTGGTTGCTGCCACGGCGAGTTCCTGTCAACTCACAAAGCGGGATCCAGTCCACTCCAACAGTGAGTTTCTGTCCACTCCCATAGCGGATTCCTGTCCACTCCAACAGCGGGGCATCCGCGCACTCCCACGACGGGGCTTCCGTACGCCTCCATGATTATTTTTCGTCCGCTCCTGAGCGGTGCTCCTGGCCATTGCCCACCCCCACAAACAGGCGCCTTCTCTGACCCGCCCTCGTCGCTGTTGCCAGAGCAGACCCTGAAGGATGAGACTCCCAGTGCGCCGCACAAGCAAGTGCTGCGCAGTCGCGCACTTTTACTAATATTTTTACAACGCTGTCGATCGTTCGGACCGTCCATGCTTTGGGAGGAGGGGTAACGAGCAGTGCCCGTTCAGTTAGCTCCATGAAGTCCTTCTCTTGGATGATTGTCAGCCTTCCTTGGTACACTTGCGCCTGCCCCACCCCCTCCCCACGCACACACCATCACAACGCAGAACAACTTTTTGAAGGCTCCTTAATTTTTGCTCATTCGTAAGTGCTTATGCTTGCAGTGCGCT